GGCCGATTTAGCCAGACGATCTGGGGCTGCCAGTCATTTTCGGTGAAAGAAGCACTCCCGACGGTTGTTACGCCGAAAACGTGGATTTGGAAGAAGCCTTTTCGGTCGGTTCGAAGGCGCGAGGCTTCCGGTAGGACCGGCTCGCGAACCTCTTTCACTTGTCTATTCGTTGCTGCCGAAGTAGTTGCGTGAAGATTGGAAACAGATGAGTCAAGCGAATGTATGCAATACAGAAAAAAGTGCCCAAACAGCCCAAGGCTAACTCGAATAGGCTGAATTATCTTTAATTGAAGATAGGAAGACCAAGATGTTGTGGCCTCGGGTAGTGTAACCGTTTCCAGCAGAACGGTTGTCGAGGGATTGACTTAACTTGTCTCTTTGACGAGTTGGTATCTTGGTGCGGAGAATGGCAAAGCTCACTGATGATGCCACCGAAACGTTTGAGAATGTATCAAGTCCACTGTCAGATGCTGGGAATCAAGACAACTGCTATGGCAGACGATTTCGGACTCGGCGCGTTCCACATAGTCTCCCTGAACACAAGACCAAGTTGCAACAACGAGGTCAACCCACTTCTATGAATTATCTTTAATTGAAGATATGAAGACCAAAATGTTGTGGCCTCTGGTAGGATCGCAGTCTCCTTTCAATGTATAGAAGTTGGTTGACCTTGTTGTCGCAACTTGGTCTTGTTGTCAGACCGACTATGTCATGATTCCCAGCATCAGAACGTGGAGTTGGTACATTCTCAAAACGTTTCGCCGGCATCATAGTCGGCATCATCAGTCAGTGCTGCCGACTATGATGTCGGCGAAACGTTTGGAAAATGTACCAACTCCACGTTCTGATGCTGGGAATCATGACATAGTCGGTCTGACAACAAGACCAAGTTGCGACAAAAAGGTCAACCAACTTCTATGAATTATGCTTAAGTTGTGTCAAATGATTGCAATGCATTTCGACTTTCCCAGCAAGCCATTGCAGAACTGAGCTTTGTGCAGATTCGGCTCAAGTTCAATAGCGCTGAAAAGAGCAAATCGTGCCAATTGTATGCGGCTAAATGAAGTGAGACCCCAGCTTGCCGGTACTGGGAGAGACTGATGCAAAGATCAGGCTCACTTCCAATCGTCTCCACATGGCCTGTTTCAGATTGAGACGCAAGCTACCAAGGATCATACTGCTCATGCTAAGCATAGTGGCTTATGCTGAAACTAGTAACCATTTCGAGACTGTCATTGATTCTTGCATACCAATTTAGGCATTAATGAGTAGGTTTTCGAGACTATTAGTAAATCAGTTGGATGCGTTGTGTTCACCCTATCTCCTTTGAGCTGATGAAGGACTGGTAGTATCTAATGAGATGTATTCACCCTATTTCGTGTAAGGTGATGAAGGACTGGTAGAAGAAGAATTTTCCCACATTCATATGAG